TTTTTTTTTTTTTTTTAAGGAAAATAATGTTTATTTTATAGTTTTTTGTCAATTGTTGACATACAGTAAGAATATAAGAGCTATTAAATGAATGTAAAACTCATATATATGATTTTGTTGCCACAGTTTGAGGCATTGTTGAGTCTTTTTTTCAGGAGAAACATCTGAGAAATCTATCTGTCTGTCTGTCTGTCTATCTATCTATCTATCTATCTATCTATCATATATATATTGTATAAGGAAATTAAAGTTTTTTGATGGCATTATTTTCCTGATTTTTGTGAAATTAGTTCTTTGCTCCTCAGGTCCGATGCAGGAGACCATCTATGACTTCTGGAGGATGGTGTGGCAGGAGAACACGGCAACTATCATCATGGTTACCAATCTGGTTGAAGTCGGCCGGGTGAGTGAAGCCCTCGATCCTCTGGAGTTTAATTTTCCCCCGATCACAGACAAACTCAGATCTGTTAGTTCTATTGATTTTATTAAAGTCAAAATGAACGAAACCTCTCCGGACCGAACCCTGGTAAACATCTGAGATGTAAAACAAAAGACTGTGAAAGCTTGAGGGAAGATCCAGAACATCTCGAGAGCGATGAACCTTCAAACATCCTTCAAACAACATACAGAGTCTGACTCAGATGTTTATCTCGTGTTTTAGTGTTTTAGTGTTCAAGTTCAAAGTCACTGTCAGTCAGTCACTGGTAGTTTGATGTCGTTCCTAGTTGTTGTGTGGACTAGATTGATTATTAAAACTTTATGCTTATAGTTATTGTTCTTGGTGTAAAAGGCCTTTAGTGAGGTTATATTCTGGGTCCAGTTTTTATGGAAAGGGGCAAATTATCTCTAACTGGATTCAATTCAATTTACCAAAAATTACACTGTGAAAAATATTAATATTGATACTTAGCACACAGTACAAAAAAATAATAAATAATCATTAGAACATATGATTATTGAAACTGTAAATAACAACTATTTCTTAAAAATTTTTGTTTTCACGAATTATAAATATTATTAACAGTATTGTAAATATTTTTGAAACGTTTTATAATAAATTTCATGTAAACGTTAACTGAAAATAAAATATTAAAAAACTTAAACTTATTTTATTTCATCTAGTTGCAAAGGCAACATTTTTCATTTTAATTTAGTTTAACTTGATGTACTACTGTAAATTAACTAACACTGAATTATTTAAACTATATAGACATATATAGACTTATATGGGCATGTAAAATGACAAAAAATGTGTAAAACTAAATTACTATAACTAAAATTAAAATAAAAGCTGAAAATCTAAAAATAAAAACTGATTCAAAATTTTAATAAATACTATAGACATTAAAAAAAATAAAAACTACACAAATTCCTAAAACTAAATCAACTGAAAATATTTTAAAAAACGATTTAAATATTAATAAAACAATATAGTATAGACATATTAAAAATGACAAACAATTACTATAACTAAAATTAGAATATAATAAAAACTATATAGATATATAAAAAAAAGACTAATAGAAATTATAAAATGCTAAAACAAAATTATATATAACTAAAATTAAAATGAAAACTAAAAATGTAAATATGAAAACTAATTCAAAATACTGATAAAACTATATAGTCATATTATAAAAATAATAAAAATCTCAAAAACATTACTAAAACAAATGCTGAGATTATGGGTTCGATTCCCAGCTAACTGAAATTAACCCGCAAACGTCATAATCATAATACAAATTTTGTGCGCACATCCCACGACTCGTCAGAGTGTCGACAGTTTACAGGCGTGTTTATGATCCTGAATGAGAAAAATCTGTATTTCTGACAGCTCAAACATCAATGCGGGTCTCGAAATAAAGAATGCAAAAGAAGTGCTGCACGGGGTATAGGGTTCTTGTCTCGGTGCTCTTTGGGTGCAAGGGATGATGCAACTCGTAAGAATAATAGTAGTCCAAGGCACTCGAATCTTATTCAAAAAGTTTTAAAAAGCCTTTATTTCATCAGGGGTATAAGTTTTAAAAGCAGGTGACAAGTGCACACCTACGCGTTGTGGCTATTTTGCCTTCGTCAGGGTTAAAGAAGGCAATGGTGTATTACATACTACTATTTTTAGGAAAGAAACAGATAGAAATACTATTTTAAGAGCAGATAGTTTTCACCCTTCATGGTTGATCGACAATATTCCCTTAGGACAGTTTCTTTCCTCTAAGAAATTAAGTACCTGGTTATGTCCTAGTGCAGGAAATTACAGATGTGGCAATTGCAATCACTGTGACAATATGGTCAAGACAAATATGTCTAAAGATGTACCTTCAGACACTGAATTTAAAGTTAAATCATTTATTAATTGCAATACCTCATTTTTTTTTTTTTTTTTAAGGAAAATAATGTTTATTTTATAGTTTTTTGTCAATTGTTGACATACAGTAAGAATATAAGAGCTATTAAATGAATGTAAAACTCATATATATGATTTTGTTGCCACAGTTTGAGGCATTGTTGAGTCTTTTTTTCAGGAGAAACATCTGAGAAATCTATCTGTCTGTCTGTCTGTCTATCTATCTATCTATCTATCTATCTATCATATATATATTGTATAAGGAAATTAAAGTTTTTTGATGGCATTATTTTCCTGATTTTTGTGAAATTAGTTCTTTGCTCCTCAGGTCCGATGCAGGAGACCATCTATGACTTCTGGAGGATGGTGTGGCAGGAGAACACGGCAACTATCATCATGGTTACCAATCTGGTTGAAGTCGGCCGGGTGAGTGAAGCCCTCGATCCTCTGGAGTTTAATTTTCCCCCGATCACAGACAAACTCAGATCTGTTAGTTCTATTGATTTTATTAAAGTCAAAATGAACGAAACCTCTCCGGACCGAACCCTGGTAAACATCTGAGATGTAAAACAAAAGACTGTGAAAGCTTGAGGGAAGATCCAGAACATCTCGAGAGCGATGAACCTTCAAACATCCTTCAAACAACATACAGAGTCTGACTCAGATGTTTATCTCGTGTTTTAGTGTTTTAGTGTTCAAGTTCAAAGTCACTGTCAGTCAGTCACTGGTAGTTTGATGTCGTTCCTAGTTGTTGTGTGGACTAGATTGATTATTAAAACTTTATGCTTATAGTTATTGTTCTTGGTGTAAAAGGCCTTTAGTGAGGTTATATTCTGGGTCCAGTTTTTATGGAAAGGGGCAAATTATCTCTAACTGGATTCAATTCAATTTACCAAAAATTACACTGTGAAAAATATTAATATTGATACTTAGCACACAGTACAAAAAAATAATAAATAATCATTAGAACATATGATTATTGAAACTGTAAATAACAACTATTTCTTAAAAATTTTTGTTTTCACGAATTATAAATATTATTAACAGTATTGTAAATATTTTTGAAACGTTTTATAATAAATTTCATGTAAACGTTAACTGAAAATAAAATATTAAAAAACTTAAACTTATTTTATTTCATCTAGTTGCAAAGGCAACATTTTTCATTTTAATTTAGTTTAACTTGATGTACTACTGTAAATTAACTAACACTGAATTATTTAAACTATATAGACATATATAGACTTATATGGGCATGTAAAATGACAAAAAATGTGTAAAACTAAATTACTATAACTAAAATTAAAATAAAAGCTGAAAATCTAAAAATAAAAACTGATTCAAAAATACTATAGACACTATAGACATTAAAAAAAATAAAAACTACACAAATTCCTAAAACTAAATCAACTGAAAAAAACGATTTAAACGATTTAAATATTAATAAAACAATATAGTATAGACATATTAAAAATGACAAACAATTACTATAACTAAAATTAGAATATAATAAAAACTATATAGATATATAAAAAAAAGACTAATAGAAATTATAAAATGCTAAAACAAAATTATATATAACTAAAATTAAAATGAAAACTAAAAATGTAAATATGAAAACTAATTCAAAATACTGATAAAACTATATAGTCATATTATAAAAATAATAAAAATCTCAAAAACATTACTAAAACAAATGCTGAGATTATGGGTTCGATTCCCAGCTAACTGAAATTAACCCGCAAACGTCATAATCATAATACAAATTTTGTGCGCACATCCCACGACTCGTCAGAGTGTCGACAGTTTACAGGCGTGTTTATGATCCTGAATGAGAAAAATCTGTATTTCTGACAGCTCAAACATCAATGCGGGTCTCGAAATAAAGAATGCAAAAGAAGTGCTGCACGGGGTATAGGGTTCTTGTCTCGGTGCTCTTTGGGTGCAAGGGATGATGCAACTCGTAAGAATAATAGTAGTCCAAGGCACTCGAATCTTATTCAAAAAGTTTTAAAAAGCCTTTATTTCATCAGGGGTATAAGTTTTAAAAGCAGGTGACAAGTGCACACCTACGCGTTGTGGCTATTTTGCCTTCGTCAGGGTTAAAGAAGGCAATGGTGTATTACATACTACTATTTTTAGGAAAGAAACAGATAGAAATACTATTTTAAGAGCAGATCGTTTTCACCCTTCATGGCTGATCGACAATATTCCCTTAGGACAGTTTCTTTCCTCTAAGAAATTAAGTACCTGGTTATGTCCGAGTGCAGGAAATTACAGATGTGGCAATTGCAATCACTGTGACAATATGGTCAAGACAAATATGTTTAAAGATGTAACTTCACAAATTGAATTTAAAGTTAAATCCTTTATTAATTGCAGTACCTCATTTGTAGTGTATCGGTTAGAGTGTCCATGTGGTTGTTTCTATATAGGGATGACTACAAGGAAATTAAAGATCAGATTAGCAGAACATAAGAATGCCATTCGAGTTTGTAACCCTTTGTATCCTATGGCCCTTCATTATAAAGAGAAAAATCATGGTAGCCCAAGTACATTGAAGATAATTGGTATAGAACATGTCCCCAGGTCAATAAGAGGAGGTGATAGGGTCAATAGGCTTTTACAGAGAGAGTCTTTCTGGATCTATATACTGAAAGCAACTAAACTTCCATGCTTAAATGGGGAATTAGACCTTGTACCTTTTTGTAATAAGAATTCAGATCTGGAAATATTATATTGTTGATCTTGTTTTGTATGTTTTTGTATGTATCTGTTTGTCCTGTGTAGAACGACCAGGTGATTGTTATTTGACTAATTAATTCAAATGAACTCAGATTGTGTTTGTTACTCACACCCTGACGAAGGCAAAATAGCCGCAACGCGTAGGTGTGCACTTGTCACCTGTTTTTAAAACTTATAGCCATGATGAAATAAAGGCTTTTTAAAACTTTTTGAATAAGATTCGAGTGCCTTGGACTACTATTATTCTTACGAGTTGAATCAATGCGGGTCTGTTACGACCTGAAACATGATATAATGGTAGAGCAGAATTGCTT